AACTCCAAATGTTAAAACTCAAAACTACAAAGTTGTAGATCTCATTGAGAGCTACAACTTTCATGTAAAAAATATCTTCATTTGACAACGTACATAAACGATATTATTTTTCTAATGCGACAAGTATTAGTATGCGGTTATTGTGTTCCTGAAATTTTGTATTACTTTTTTGAGTAACTTAACGACTTTAAATGTTAAAACTCAAAACTACAAAGTTGTAGATCTTATTGAGAGCTACAACTTTCATGTAAAAAGTATCTTTATTCGACAACATACAGAAAATATATTATTTTTTTAATAAGATAAGTACTAGTACGCAGTTATTATGATTTTGAAATTTTATATTATTTTTTTGAGCATCTTAACGTCCTCAAATGAAAAAACTCAAAACTATAAAGTTGTAGATCTCATCGAGAGCTACAATTTTCATATAAATTTCATCTTTATCCGACATCGTATCAAAGAGTTATGATTTTTCAAAGATTTGGTCTTGTCACGCTACTCCTGGTGACGCAACAGAACAATATTGTCACGCCAGCGTTTTTCATGTCGAAATGCCGTCTAACGTGATGGATATGGTGCGATAACGTTATTTAGTCGCGTCAGCGTCAATGGCACGATGAAAAGGTTAGATCAGCAGAATTTTTTAAAGTGATTATTATTAAAACATTAAATAAAAATTTAAAAATAAAAAAAAAATCAGCTCTGCACCGGGTCTCGGTCACTCACGTGCAAGGTGCATCTGGGCCGGGCTGGGCGCTGCCTCACGGTTGCTGCTGTCTGCTGCCTCGGGAAAACAAGACGAGGACGACGCGACGCGAGGCGACAAACAGGGCCCGTCGTATTAGGCGGCTCTTTTCTGCTGTAGCCTGTACGTGCTAGCTGCAGGCTGTCCTGCAAATCAGAATACTTGGCGTTTGCAGATTTGCTAGCGCCAGGCCGCCAGACAATTTTCTTTTTTGCAAAAAGAGACCGGCCTCAGATCGTATACTTGGCGTTTGCAGATTTGACAAACTTTGTCCGATCATGGCCAGGCCGCCTCGTGATTTACAATCAAACTGACAATTAATTATTTTTTTACTTTTAATACTCCATGCATGTGTCTAAAAATTGATGTAATGGAGAGAGAGTGAAAAAACTTGGAATTTTGATGGGATCTAAACAAGGCCCCCTAATTTTCTTTTTGTTCTCTCTGTGCCCTTTTCTTTCCAGAAACTAGGCATCTGGCAACCCTGAATTTCTTAAAGACCGACTTTCGGTTTCACAACACGTCTCCAACGGGAAAAAAAAATCACAATTTATTGGAGCACTAATTTTTTGAGCTACACCGGCTAATAACACAAGGGAGCACGGAATTGGGCCATATTATCAGCGTCCAGAGCCCATCAAACCTTCGGACCGAACTAAACCGGAGCTCAGTGACGGCCTTTCAATCAGCCCACGCTGCGGAAACGATTTGGTGATTTGAGGCGGAGAACGACGGACGAGCATACACCACACGTGCGGATACGCGAGAAGCCGCGTCGGGCGGCGGCGGGTGTACCGTGTACGTATACTCTGGGTTGGGCCGTACTCTACTCAGGAGCCGTAAACGAAGACCGGGTCGGTCAAACGTGTTGACGCAGCGTGGAGGGCGTGGCGTGGCGTGCGGCGTGCCGCGACCATACGGTCTCGTCGGGCGACTCAGCAGCCGCCGCCGCCGCACGTTCACCTGTGGGCGCGTGCGTTGTCGATCGCTGCGACGCAGCCACGCAGGTGCGTGAGTTATCGATCGCCGCAGCCGCGCCGGCGACATCGGCGGCGACGTGTGGCGGGGAAGGGAACTGAAGAATCGGACGGGAAGCTCCGTCGTTGCGTGGACGCTTCGGCAGGCGCAATGATTCCCGGCCTGGCCTAGTGTTTCCTGCCGTCCATGCATTGCCACGAACCGAACCGAGCGGGAAAAAGGCGGGGCGGAAGCGGAAGCGGAGCCAAAATGAGGTCCGGGTGCGTGCTCGCGAATAAAGGAGATTATTAGGCTGGCATAATACGCTATGCACTGAACGCTTCCCTTCTTGCGAGTTGCGACGGAGAGGGAGAGATAAATATTCTGTTTGTTATTCTCCATCCACTGAGGCTAAATATATATTCTATCCGGCAGCTCGATGTACAGCGTGTAAACTGGGCAGTGTTTTGATTGATTCGGTGACGGCATCATTCTTCTAGAAATTGTTAAAAGAGCATATGTGTATGCATATATAGAGCAAAAAGGTGTGCTTATAAGCCGTACTTTTTTAGCCAACATACAAGTATTTTTCTCTCACAACAAATCAGCCAACAGTCCTTTCAGCCATGACTTATCAGCCCAGCGAACGGGACAATGACACCAAGATGGCAAAGATGCTACTTCACTTCACTCGCAAGATTTGAAATTGCCGATCAGCACACGACAAGCAAAATTTGTGCGACGAAAAGGAAAAGGGAATAATCTGAAGGGAGCTCCGAAATTAATCATTTGCTGGACTCTTATTACAGGTTCATCACTACTACAAGTGTATATAGGTAGGAGTAACATGCCCTGCCTAACAATCAGCTACACGGAGCAAGAAGATAGTAGTAGGAGTAGAAGGAAAGGCCGAGAGAATAGGACGACTGTGCCAAGTGAGGCATGTATGCAGTGGCCGCACGGCACAACCGCACAACTCGATACCACAACTGCAGCACAACAGCGACGTACACATCGAAATTATTGCGATCCTATTCCGAACGCAACGCATTCTTTCCATCCTTCCTTCTATTCCCTCCCCATCCCATCCCTTGGAATAATTGCAGCGGGGGCGACGGAAGAAAAAAAGGCCAAACCAGCCGTGCTGTAAAGCGCCGCCGCCAACGTAGCCACGGGCGAGACCCAGCGCCAGACTGGGCTCGTCCATCCTGCTCTGTGCCTCAGGCTGATGGGTAGAAAGATAGAAAGATAGGACGGACACCGGACCAGCTGCACGAGTCAAAGGAACAAAGCTTCACGCAACACACCAAGAACAATCTGCTACTAGCTGCTCCTACTTTCTGCATGCAACTTCATCGATCCTCTGTACACGGACTGTGCAGTCACTGCTGATCCGTCGTCCCGTTCCAAACAACATTGCAAATTTCTTCCACACTAGAAATTATTATTATTATCAAAGAGTTTAATCATGCTCGGCTTCCTGTTATGGAAAGGCGCCAGATTTAAGCAAAGGCCGTGTTGACCTTGATAAGCAAATGTAAGCATGGCTCAGTCAAATACAAGATAAAGACGGAAGTGGTTTCAGCATGCAGCTCTCTGCATCACAAGGCATAGGAACATGCAAGGAACCATTGAACCAATAGCTTCCAGTGCTAGTCAAGAAGCAAAGATAGTAATTGATGCAAGGTTAAGATTCTTAGCATCCAACTCTACTCATAAAAAGCAAGATTTGTTTCAGCAAATCACACCTGCAACTATGGACTCAATAGGCAGGATGACACACTCAGAATGATTGAAAATAGGCCACTGGTAATTCTAGCATGTGCAAGAAAGTTCTGCGCCATATTTCGACATCCCGCGTTACTGGCAATGTTGACATAAAGCAAATTTAGACACTATGCAAACCAATCAAGTACTATATATGGTTACCCAAGTAGCAGCACAAGGAATTATATCCGATTTGGAAAGAAGTGAAATAGGCACGATACTTGAACCATAAATTTTCCAGCTAATATGCATTCACCACTCTAGCTACATACTTAAATTAAGTAGCACATGAGTATTTCACTTTCACTCTCTGTTCCACAAAGCTTGAGTTTCATAAGCCCCAGACTAGATGGCATCTTACTCCCCACAAATGTTGCTAAATTATCTAGATTAATCAGGCAACTGCTTTCAATCTGGAAGTAGCTAGATTAATCAGGCAACTGTTCATTTGGTAAAAGGTGTAAAAACCTGGTTGACATCGACAGGTAACACAAGCAACTTTTATATGGCAAGCGCTGCCATTTGAATTTACTCATCCAAAGGAATTCTGGAGCTCACAAATCCAAATTTGAAACATCTCAGGCAAGCAGAACTGCAGAAGAGCACACTCATAGGAGTTAGGAAGTTTCTAATGAATTCCCTGTATTCTCTTATTGCATCTACTACTTCAGAATGACATCTAGCAGGCAAAATTACTAAGAACAGATCATGCAAGATCAAACAGCTTCATGGTTTTCACGAATCATTTTGTGGCACAACAAGATTGTGAGTCAAAGCGATGGTGGGTAACCATATAAACTATAAACATCAAAAGCAGAACCACAAACTCCAGGGGAAGAAATACAGGCTACTGCAACATGACTTCAAGACTGGCACTAATCAAATAAGTACCTTTTCGTTTCTAATCTTTTCAAATACCAATTGTGAAACAACGCAGGACTCCATAAGACTTATGCATTCACAGTATGACTAGTCCAAACATCAATTCAATCAAATACCAACATAATATATGCCATTTTAGAGCCAAGTGGATCTGGCATATGCAACATGAAAATTCAACACAGCAGTTCACACATGTCACCACCAAGCACCAACTTGGTGGCTCATAACATCAAGAAAGGTATGCACATTATGAAACAGGCAAGATGAACGAAAAAGAATTAGCATTTCATGCAGCTACAGGCGAATCAAGTATTTCTTAACAGGTTCCTCATCAATAGATAAAAACCATCTCGAAGTTGTTTCTAGATTATTAATATAACATTTGTTTTGCATAGTCTCATATCTTTGAAATCACGAGCAGTTGATTCAAATGCAAATGTAGAAAAGGATTAGCAGGGAAACAGGAGTATTAGAACTCAAGGGTTACATGAGACTGCTGACAATCAGCTGATGTCCAGTTAATTCCGGAACTGGGCAGACGGCAGAAATCGCTACGAAGAATAAGGGCAGAAGCAATTGGACAGGCTGGCTCTGTGCGTAGCATCCTTCATAAATATCCACTGCACTTATCTTTTATTCAGTGGACTCAGCAACCCATCACGGCGCAGTTATACACGAAGTTCCCAGATGGCCGCCTGGCAATCAAATTCCACACAGGCGGCCGTTCATCTGGGATCCAAGAGTTGAGCTCAATAGTACCACCAGTATAGGTCCTTGGACCTCCGATGACAATCAAGCGGTCACCGCACGCTCGGAAAGCAAGGCCCCACCCATTCATTGACACAGACCGTTCAGGCAGTTTTCCAAGGGTGATCCACCTATTGTTCTTCTTATCATACTTCTTGAGATCCTTCTCGCTGTAATCAGCGGCGTAGAGCTCATTGCTGACAACTGCAATAAGGGGAGGAGCACCAGTCACTCCATTGAGGCCTTCAGACATGTTCGCGATTATCCTCCAAGAACGCCTCTTCAAGTCATACTCCTCCCCACAAGTCAGCACTCTGTTGTTGTTGGCCACACCACCTATCACATAGAACTTGCCATCCATGAAAACCCCAGAACACATCTTCCTTGCCCTATTCATGCTTGGGAGGGGTGTCCAGGTATGTGTCTCAGAGTCATACATCTCTGCAGAGCTCAGTATGTTGCCAATAGAATCAGTGCCTCCAGCAACGAAGGCCTTTTCCCCAACACTTGTTGACCCAAACAGGCACCGTGGAGAGTTCATTGGATCAGCCCTGGTCCATGAATTGGTTAGGATGCTGTATCGGAACACAATACGCGCCATCCCAAACACAAGCAGTTGAGTACCCACTGCAAGTGATTCCTTGTCAGAGCACATGAAGCATTCATCAGGCGGCATCTTGGGCACTTGGATCCAGCGCTCTCGATATGGGTCATAGGCATCCCATTCAAGAACATTGCAGGAGAAGTAGACCCAATGCTCGGCCACCCCAATCTGGCGCCGCAGGCGGTAGATCTCCCCACTGCGGACCATGGCGCGGAAGTCCCGGCTGAGGGAGGCCACCGAGCCGTAGTCGGACCGGGATAGCCGGAGGAGGCAATTGATGGTCAGGTCACGACCGATTGAATTCATGGGGTTGCTCCCAGTGCCCTGCTGCTCTCCGCAACCAGAGGCATGGCGGCTGGAGCCGTGGCCCTCGGAGATGTCCGGCGTGTGCGGCTGCGGGGACGGCGGCTTGCTGCGCTTGCCGCCGCCGTCAGCTTCGTCCAGGTCTTCGACCTCGATGTCTTCCGGCGCCGGGCGCTTCCCGCTGAGGACCTCGTGGGCGAGGTACGCCCACTCCGCCTCCGGCTTGCAGGAGCTCGGCAGGGAGCGCGACACAAGGTAGGACTTCCCTTCCAGCATCATGCCTTCTCCCTAAAAAATCTTTCTATTGTTGCTTTATTTCCTCCTCCTAATCTGAGATTGCTCCAGAAAAAAAAAAATTAGCTTGCTTAGCAATCCCGTTGTTGCGATCTGCAGGCGCCAAAATCGAATTAAAAAAATAAGCGGGGATGAAATCAACCGGAACAAAGGGATCAAGAACAGGGGAAGGCTTGAGATCTGAGGAGAGCGAACCTCGTGAATAAAACAGGCATAAAAATCGAATCTTGCAGCTCGAACCCGACCGATCTCCCCAAATCTGTGAAGAATAAAACCAAATCTCTCTCTCAGCGCCGCGATAAGTCGGACAACACGAATCCGAGCCAGCCAAGCAAGACGCCAAAACAGGGAAAAGGAGGTCACCTTAAATCAAATCCATGGCAGATCGCGGGCACCAAATCTGCGCTCAAAGATCGCGCCCTGGAGCCCAATCAGGTCCTGGCCGCCACTCTTCACCCGAGATATCCCCTCCTCCGGTACCCGGTCCTCCCCCACTTGGTAGTTGGCCTGGTGGCAGGCGGCCTCTCCCGTCCCCCCTCTCGCCCTCCTACCGATGCGTGAGGATTTATACCTGCAGAGGATGGATAGATGGCTGGCTCTATCTACTGATGCCACTTGGTTACGACTGCCGCTTCTAATGCTTCTGGCCTCTGCTGCAGCCCCTGCTGCCTCCCTCGACCTCCCTCTGTCTTCTCTCCCCTCTCGTAGCGTGCTCCTCTGCCCCCTCTCTCTCGTGTACTTGGGGAAATGGGACTCTCCCCTCCCTCGCTTTATTTCTTTCCCTTTTTATTCCCCTCGAATTTCTTTCTCCTGCTCTGCCCTGCCCCTCTCTCTCTCTCTCTCTCTCTCTCTCTCTCTCTCTCTCCCTTTCGCTTTGTGTGTGTCCGTCTGTTTTGGCTCGTCGGAATTGGCAACCGCGCAGGCCTCAGAAATAGAAAAGGGCGGAAGCGGCCACCGGCCAGCTGATGGATTATCTCTGCCCTTCGCATCTTCCGCTCCACTCTAGCACTATACACGCGACGGCGTACGTCTTTCGCGTATCCTTTCAATTTCTTTTCATCCGATGCTGATTGACAGCAGTATAATTTTTTCTTTAGCCTGTTCACTTATTTAGTTCTGACTAGAAACATCAGTCAGCCAATGATATTTTTCTCCCACAACAAACTAGTGTCAGCTGAAAACGAACCGGCCAACCGGCTCTTTACGTGGACTAGGTGTACAGTATTCTGCTACGGTGCTACCGCAAATATAAATAAATGTTTCCTATTTGCCCGTCATTGTCTTGGTTATTCGTCTTCGTTGCAGGCTATAAATGTGTGTGTATATATATATATATATATATATATATATATATATATATATATATATATATATATATATATATATATATAACCATCGGCTTAAAGTCAATTCAACCACTATTCCGATTAAAAAATGTGTACAGATAATTACTGCATTGATTATGAGTGTGAAGAAATAATGGAGTGGCCCTGCAATGAATCTTCAATTGCTTCTCTTTTTATAGGTCGATGTTCTATTCGTTTGGATGATAAGTTATGACTAAAAGAACTGTTGACTAATTTATTGTAAGAGAAAAATATTATTCGTTCGTTAAAAAAATATAGCTTATAAGCTAAACGAATAGGACGCAAGTAATCGTTCTCTTTTGCCTATGCTAGTACGTACGTAGTAGGAGTAGCTCCTTAAGTGTTTGGATGCAGATCACCTCTTCGACACATAGTATGTTTTGGTCCTCATTTCTGTATAGGCCACTTGGTGCATTCAGGTCCTAGACTAAACGGAATCAATCGCAGTTGGAGCTAGCGCTGCTATGGAGTCTTTTAGGGTCTGTTCTGCTGATGTTAAAGCCGGCTGATAAACCGGCTTGAAACTGATTTGTTGTGAGAGAAAAGTTATTGTAGATTATAGCTGATAAGTTTAAGCGAACATGTCCGCACTACTATTTGGTTTCTCCCACTCGTTCAGCTTATATGCCAATCTGTTAGGACCACGGATTATGTGGTTTCCTTTGTTTATTATCCGATTGCCTTTGTTGCTGCATTTATTCATGGGTGAGTTATTATTATTCAGCAAACTATCAACATATAAATAATTTTCATTCATAGGTTCATAAGATGGCTATAGTGCAAGACCATATATTCATAACACAACACGCCAACCACCAGTCTACTATGGATAGGGATACTTTGGGGAGTGTTCGGCTGGCAACTTTCGGCTGGCTGGTTGTCTTTTTTTTTTCAGCCGGAGCAGTATTTTTCTCTCACAAAATTTCAGTATAAATAGTGTTTCCAGCATGAACAGTGCCGGATTTCATCCCAACCGAACACTCCTTTGGTGTGGCATGGCCGACTGTGCTGCATTGTTGCACTTCCTAAAACGGTATGTCATATATGGTTAAAAACGGAAAAAGCAAAAATGGTCGAAAAAACTGACCTATCATTTTTTGTCTCGTTTTCAAATTCATCGATAACAGAAAAAATAAAAATGGTCGGGATGACCTTCAAGCGAGTTAAATGTAGAAATGGAGATAGAACATAATGAGATTTATTCCAACCGTTTTCATCTCTAAGTATAAGGCTCTGCTCAGATTCATGGTCTAAAGTTTAGCTGCTAAACTTTAGCTCTTGAGGCTCCAATCAAGCAGTCTAAGTTTAGTCAACCTTTACAAAAGAGGCCCATTAGTTCATTTAGACCACACAAGTGTGCTAAAGTGATCTAAAGTTTAGTACGCAACTAAACTTCAGACCATGAGATCAGACATGCTCTAAGACCTTTATGTTATCCTAAATCAAACTAAATTTATGGAACATGGTAATATGTATGGTATCAAATGAGATTTATTAGACGCACCATGAAATGTTTTTCATATTTTATTGGGTAGATTTTGATACTTTTCTTTGCAAACTTAACAAACTTTGGACATTTAGAACAACTGAAAATTCCTTATTATATTTCGTAATGGAAATAATACTCGTCAAGACGTCATAGAGGTTGTGGAGGAAAAATGTTATTGGTGGCAAACAATCTTACAAAGCCTAACTTGGTTAACAAAACTGAAAGCATTTGGTGTCATGAAAACAATCTTGTCTTTTCGCGATGGACTATTGGTTTCAATTACATTTTTTACTAATTAGATTCTCCCTCATGTTCAGATATATTCCAGACTAAGGATTATGTAGCTTTCTGCGCTTGTTGCAACATTTATTCATGATGAATGAGCTTGTTAGATACTCCACTGTAGGTGTGTGTAGTCAACGTGGGAGGTCATTATTACTTAGTAATTTCAGCAAGAATAACCATTAAGCGTTGCTCTTTTTGCAAGGACAATGAAGGTTACAATAGTGACTAACGATTACTACAACGCCATTTTTTGTAGCGACTATAAGCCTGTTCGGCTGGTTCGTATCGTTGCTGGTTCGTGAAGTAGTACTGCTGGCTGGTTTGTGTGAGAGAAAAATACTATTCCGGTTGAAAATTTACGATCGTATACAATAAGCCGCAGCCAAACGAACAGGATGTATAAATACATTTTGACGTAGGGGAACAAACCAGAATTAAATCGTTTAAACAACAGCTTGTCAAGGCGTTAAAGAAGGCTGTGCTGGAAAAACGTAGGCGGTGGGGAGCAATCTTAGCTTGGCTAACAAGATTGAAGATATACGGTGCCATAATCCAAGCCCATTTCCGCACTTCGCCATGACCTAGTGCGGCTATCAAGGCTAAAAATACCGAAATTTTTATTTTTAGCCTTTTTAAAAAAAATCACAAATATGTCCATAGAGGAAAGATTTCAGAATCTGGACCCTTAGGCCCCGTTCGTTGGTCTGAAACTTGGCTGAAACTGGCTAAAAAACACTGTTTCCTGCTGAATTGTTGTGAGAGAAAAACATTGTTCCGACTGAAAAAAGAAGTCGAACAAGCCGAATATGGAGTAAGCTGAATAGGGCCTTAGCTCGACGCCAGCGTCCTTAGCGCCGAGCTCTTGGGCTCGAAGCCAGCATGGCGATGACATGGCATGGAACCTCGGCGCCAGTCACCCTGGCGTCAAGCTCGGCGCCGTAGATCTTGGAGCCGAGGTCGGCGCTAGGGTGACTGGCGCCTAGCTTCCTTGCGTATGCGTCCCATTCCTTTCTCTCTTCCTCTCCCTCTCTCTTTCACACCTCTCCCAGCCGCCCGAGCAGCGCAGCGCCGCCGCCGCCCGCGCCCTCTCCCGCCCACGGCCGTCAGCGCCTGCGCGCCCTCGGCCTCGCCCGCGCCTGGCCGCGCCCTGCGCCCGCGTCCGTGTCCGGCCGCCCGCGCCGCGCCGCCACCGAGGCCGCGCCGCACCCCCATCGAACCGCCGTGCCCGTGCCCGGCCGCCCTCGCCGCGACGTGCCCTGCGCTCGCCCGATGTGCCGCCCGCGGCCGTCTTGTCCGCACCTCGCCGCGCCGGTGCCGTGACTGTGCCGCCCGTGCCCGTCGCGCGCCACCGTCGTCCTCGGCCGCGCCCTCGCCGGCCCCGGCACCTGCAGCGCCCGGCCATGCCACCGCCGGCCCGACTCTTTGGCCTAACCCACGCCCGGCGTCCACAGATAAAAATTGTGAATTTGCAATGTGCGTATTTAGTTAGCTTTGATTGTAGTGTAGTAGTTTTGGCATTTGTTATTTACTAGTTAATGTGATGGCTCAGGTAGTTGATTTAGTTTGTGATTTAGTGAGATAGATATGTAGATATATAGAAACATAGATACATAGGTGCATAGATATAGTTAGATAGCTACTTAGAGAGGTAGTTACATATTTAGTTAACTAAATAGGATCTAGCTATTTAGTTAGTACACTGTATCTATGTATGTAGTTATTATCTTATTTACTTAGTTTGTAGTTAGAAAGTACTTGTTACGTACTATATATCGTCTAATTTGGACTAAAGGACATGTGTTTTGTTATGTGTTTGAACTAGATGGACAACCTAGTGACCATAT